GTGGGGGTAAATCTGTTGCATCCATGCAAGAGAACAAGAATTGGTGTAAGAGGGGATTGTATCATAGATTCTATTAAACAAATATGCAAAGTGAAAACAACCTGCTGTCAGTGGTGGAGAGCAACTAAGCACATTAAGTACTGTCTGTAAGATTTCTTTATTTCGTTAAAGGAACAATTATCTAGACAGTAGTCTAAAACATAAAGTCTGAAGGGTGAAGTAAGGATCTAAGAGAAAGAAAGAATTTGTGAAGAGCCTCTCCTCTCCTCCTACTCATGATAAATATTGAAAAAGGGGGCCGTTAAATTTAAAATCCAGTCTCTCTCAATCCCTGCAACACCGTACAAAGCCCTTCAGTCGCAAGCACCCTTCAGATTTACAACATAAGCATCACTTACACTGCAAACATTTTACAATCATCCAAAATCACTGAACAAATTAAACCATATTACTTTAATAACATATGCAGAACTCGCAGTGAAATTAGATGCTACACAGCTCGAAAGAGAGGCTACAAATTGGTAAGTAAAAGAGAAACTGTCTGTTCAGAAGCTGAAACGCATCCAAACTATGAATAGAGATTAGAGACTCAAAGAAATGAGAGGAAGACACAAAAACACATGGCTGCCCAAACTGGAGTGTGCACACTTTGTAATTACAGAACAGGTGAGGCGGAGACAGAGACGCACTTCCTCCTTTACTGTGGAAAGAAAACAATTTGCAGAAATTCACACTGACTGAGAATATTTATTGATAAAAGGGCAGTTTATTATTGTATATAAACAATTTATCTGCAAGAAAGTTGAGACAGATATTTGTATTAAGACAGAAAGTAAATCTGAACCTATTTTGATAATCAGTTAATATGGAGGTAATTATTTTTAACTTTCATTCTCATAAATTCTAACCCTTACAAGTTGATCAGACAAAACCAAACATTGGAAGACGTCACCTTGGGCCCTGGGAAACAGTGTTGGACTTTTTTCACTCTGTATATTTCATTTTTTTTACATTAATCTCATCTGCAGATGAATTGATGATCAATGCAGCCTCCACCAAGGCCACACAAAATATACACATCAACATCTAGTTTTTACAGCAGAAACAAAAAAGAAAAGAGGAAGTGTTCTGATAACTTAAATGACCAATATTCACACATAATTCTCTGAGAAATCAATGCAAGTCTTTAAAAATGACCTGTTCTTGCAACGTTCTGGCTCGGATCTTGTTTTGGATCCGCCATATGATCCGGACAAGTTTCGTGATAACTGTCCAGCAGTTTTTGCATAATCCTGTTAATGTACTCACAAACCAACACAGACATAAAACATAACCTCATTGACAGAGGTAATAATAGGTTGCAGGCCTGACAATCATCATCAGTTATTATTAGAATGAGACAATGTCTATGTGCATCACTGTTACGTCTACTGCTGTTGATGATAAACTTCATGTCAGTAAAGTTCACTGACTTGAGAGAGAGGGGGAGAGAGGATGTATCATTAGAAGCTCACCAGGTACATGTAGCCTAGCACGAAAGCAACTAAAAGACACATCAACCATCTTAGAGTGTTTGCACCATTCGCCCCCCCTCCGCCTCTCCTGTCATTCAAATAAACCCCCATCCCTTCGCTCCATTTTCCCTTGAACCGAGTGAGTTATGTCAAGTGATGTCAAGCACAGGCCGGTGTATGAATCAAAATTTGTCAAGTTGGCTTTTCCCACTCTCAGGTCTATGAATTGATACAGCTACAGTTTTTGAATATGAATCCCCGGAGAGCACCACATTGCTTTTAACTGACGGCAGCTTCAGCCGAGCAATCAGACCCTTTGTTTTTTTTCACACCATCCCACAATCCCACCTGCTTCATAGAGACGATGAAGGACCTTTTGAAAACAACGAGGCGGCATGATTTATTATTCTAATTAGGCAAAGTGAGACTTTTAGCAAAGCCACAATTACACTAAATCGCCAAAACGGTTTTCTGGTTGGCCAGCTCCTGTTCTGCTCAGATGTTAATCAGAGGCAGCTATTGTGCCGAGGTGCAAACTACTCGTGAGTCTCATTATTTGCTCGGTAATATCATCCACAAACACGCAAATAATCAAATAAACAAATGCCACAGTCCCGCACTGAAATACAAACAAGCTTTTTTGGCTTATTGAATAAACTGTCTGAACCAGGTATGTGAGCGCGCATCTGTCTGTCCCAGGGTTTAAAGTGCACCGATACCCAGATGAAATCTGCTGTGCTGTTTAATTCCAGGTCATTTCATAATCTCTTTGATACTTACTCACATCTGCACCACTCTGCTCTCAGTCGCTAACAATCAAACAGCTGCAAGCTGGCACACTCACTGACTCCTCCGCTACAACACACAAACCACAGAC